ATGAGGGGGAGGGGTAAGGGTGGGTCCAGGAGGATTTAGAGGAAGTAGCAAGGGATGAATATGATCAGAGTACATTGTATGAATGCATGAAAATTTCAAAATAGTAATAAAATACTATATTCTTAAAGATTGATTGTGGCTATGCGCAGCAGCCCTGAGCTCCCACTGGAAGTTTTCTGTTCCCTCACACGCCATTGCTACAGCATCCAGTCTGGATTTTACCAGCCACACTCTCTTATCTAATTCCAAGGTGAAAGAACAGAGAGCCCTCCTATTCCTGGAAGAGAGAGAGCACTTCCTTTGTATTTCATTTTAAAATCACCCCAAACTGAGTCTTCTAGGTAACAAACAGTCTACATTACATCACCCTCAGACTATAGCATGTAGTCGGCTCCTACGCTTGTTGTTCTTAGCTCTTTGATTATTTCAACTTGGGCTTTAACCCTGGGGTTTTCCTCGCTGTCTCTTGCTCCTAACTACTCCATGGAATGGACAGTTGACTTGTCTGTTGGAAGTGCATGCCATCTTCTGGCCCTTCCCTTGATTCTAGTTCACCAACTTTTCCTGGCCTGTCTACTGACTCACTGAGTCTCTCTTTTACCTTCATTCACCCTCTCCTCAAAATCAGCAGTCCTCAGGATCCCATCTTGTCTCACGTGATGCATGGCCTAGCTGAGCTGATCCTTACCTGAGGCTCTCGAGCACACTCCTACCTATCAGTCTAGGTTGCCGGCTCCTCTCCAGGAGCAGCTCCTGTTACTCCAGGAGTCCTAGCCGACAGCAGGACTGTCTCTGTGTACTGGTAACACTTCCTCTCACGTTCAGTCTGGTCCTCCAGCTCCTGAACCCCCATCACGTGACAGTTCATACCAGTGTTTACCCAAACACACATGGTAAGAAAAGTTAAGATTCACTTAAAATCCATGGTGCCACAAATAATTATCTTTTAAAAACACAAGAGTGAACACTTTTGAATAAAGATGCCTATCGATGGGGCTGGATAGATGGCTCAGTAGTCAAGAAACAAACTGCTCTTACAGAAGATCTGAGATGGGTTCCCAGCACCCACATCAGGTGGCTCACATTCACCTCTAACTCCAGCTCCAGGGGAGTTGAGATCACTGGTCTCTCAGGACACAGGCACTCACATCCACACATCCACACAGAGACACACATCCACACAGACTGAGACACACACACACACACACACTTATTTAAATAAAACAAATATGTCTACTGACAACGCACTGTTAACAGGATACAAAGGACTCTCAACTCCTACGCTAACCCAAGCATCACCTCCTCCCACGCCCTCTGTGCCTCTCATTTGAGTCCTACTGAGCAACAGGCACATCTCTGGCCTTCATGCACCGAGGCTTCTGCCTAAAGCACCATTTCTTACCAGAAGGCATTTCCTATGGCAATGCCTGATACATTTTCAGCCGGTACTCTGACATCTAGTGTGTGATAGGCCCACTGCAGTACACAAGACAGCCCCACCCCCAACAAGAGAATGATCCGGCCCCACACATAAACAGTACTGAGATAAGAATCCCCGCCCTAGAATATCAGTCTAGACTTTCCTGGTAAACTTCAACTCACTTGTCCAGACCCAGCTCTTGTGTTACCCAGCTCCGCTGTGCAGACCCCTAACAGGTCCCTTCAATGCCATGCTTCCTTGTCACACATTCATCAGTGACATAGTTATATTTTACTGTTTGTCTCTGTTACTATAACGTTGCTGTCCCCTTAAACAAAGATCATACTCTATTCACCTTTTATTGTCAATGCCCAATATTTAAATGTATGCTAAATGAATGTGAAATGATATATCTGCAGAGAATACATAGTATCTCCAAGCAAATACTCCAGGCCCAAATACCTCTCAAGTCATTATTATAACTCTTCACTTCTAAGAAACATTTTTTTGACCAAATTCCTATGTTGCATCATAGTTCCAGCATTGATATTTATTTATACACCCCCCCCCCCCACACACACACCAGAGTTTCTCTGTAGCTTTGGTTCCTGTCCTGGAAACTAGTTCTTGTAGACTGGGCTGGCCTCGAACTCAGAGAGATCTGCCTGCCTCTATCTCCTGAGTGCTGGAATTAAAGGTGTGCACCACCAACTCCAGGCTATGTCATTTTATGGGAAAGATTAAGTGTTTTTTAAGCTAGACATAATGTCCATGAAATTATGTAAAATATAAAATACTGCAAAAAATAATGGATGCTAAAATATGCAAATCTTTAAAACATTGATCTTAAGAGTAATTACTGAATTATATCATCTTGAGATTAATAATGATAAAAATTAAGACATAAAAATATTTTAAGATCTACTCCTTTAGGCTTAAGTGATATATTTATCTAGGGTACTTAAGTACTAGACAACAAGCAGAAAACCTTTATTTAAAAAAAAAAAAGAAAAACAAAGTTTCTAACAGAAACATGAACACAAATGGACAACGGAAGGCACAGCCAAGCCAGGGTTGAGTTCGAGGTTCACTAAACAGGGCAATGGAGCCTTTGGGCATCCTAACAACACAACAACAGAGATTCAGAACATAACACACAGGGAAAGGGAACTAAAAACAAACAAACTCCAGATTTTAGAATCAAAACTATTCAGAACTGTCCTTTAGCTCCTCAATCTATTTCTTGATTAAGCTGACAGACTACTATAGTCATCAATGAAACACCAAACCTCTCTTGGTGGGTCACGGGCCATCATTATTGCCTTTACCTACCTAAGACTGTATTTCAAATGCACTCAGAAAACACAAGAGCCATCATGATGAGGTTTCAAGAGCCCATCTCTAGTCTAGGCTGTAAGGACAAAGGATAGCCTGTGTCTTAGACACAGGTTACAAGTCTTCCTTGGACAGTAAACATTAGTCATTTACGAGCTGGGATTCTAAGAGACCTATAAACTCCACACTAGGCTGCTGGAAACTGGTAGCTGAACACACGAGAGGAGAAACTGGAGGCCTCTCTACCTCAGACACCAGGGTCTCTGACCAAAGCAGTTATTTGATTTCACTGCTGCTCAGTATGGAGAGCTGACATTACCAAGAGCGGTTCCAGTATCAACTTGTTAAATGTGAATGCAGACTCAGCATCTCTGAACATGAACCCAGACTAAGTGGAGACATGAGAAATATTTTGGGAGTTGTTTATTTATAAGCGAGTTACAATAAACCACTATAATTAGATTAATATATCATTATTGATAAACACAGTATTACTTCCATGTTTAGAAAAGGAATTAGTATAAGCCCTCAATTTGCCATTTATCAGTGAGATCAAATTAGACACAGTAGACAATAAGTATAACTGTTATACTGCTTTTAGGATTTTTATGAGGAAATTGTTCAGTGCATGTTGAAGAACAATTTAAAGTTCTCAGACACATGATACTTTCTGGATTCTCACAACCAACAGAGTTTGGGCAAAGCTAGGCATAAGGTGTCACAAAGCAGTATTTGTTAGTTTGCTAGAAAGTTTAAAGGTCCATGAAAACATACGCTCTTAGCAATGCAACAGCACTTAATGCTTCAATGGCTACATTTAAAGTGCCCTTTGGAAAGCGTCCTTAACAAATGGTAACGTTTCCATAAGGACAACTGTCTTAGGGTTAGTTCTATAATTTTTTCCAGGTTCATGACTTCTTCAGATTGCTTTTAAATAAGTTTGAAACACTGATTGAGTCAACAGATTATAATGTCGCTTCAAGCCTCCAGTTCTCCTCCTCTTTTTGGTGTGGTGGTGGGGAATTAAACTGACTATCTGTAACACAGGTCAGAATTTGGAATGTAACCCCTCTTTACCACAGTAAAGTAGCTGCAGAGCTTAACCTTGGGAACAGTGATTGGACTTAACAGATTTCCAAAGAGAAAAACCAATTACCTAATTCTCTAACTCTACTTGTCTAGTAGTTATCTGAATTCCCCCCTAACATTTAATATAGATATTGGGTATTAGGAAAACAGATAAGGTGTTGTCCCCCACCTTCAAAAAAATAAATAAATAAAAAAGAATAAAAAAAAAAAAACCTATGTGCTGTCTGTCAATCTAGAGTTAATGTAGTCAGAAAAAACAATTAAATTTCCTGGAATTTAGCAAGACCTTCCAAATACAGAATTTTTAAAGGCAACTTTAGTTCAAAACACTTTAAATGCTTTGGAAAGGCCAAGTTACATAGAGAGCCAATCTGGCTCCGATCTGTTAAATTACTAATAAAATAAAGCAACACTGTCAAAACAACAAACTAGGGTAGTAAATAGGAAATTACAGGAATGACCTAGTAAGTTTAAACCAATTCAAACTCATAAAACTTAGGAATCAATAGTGTTGAAAAAGTGAGTTACATTTGGGAGGCGGCACTAACCGGGAACTCAACAAAAACAGGGTGGAACAACGTTCCTGTGGTTAGGGTATATATAAACGCAAAGCCCAGTTATTTTTCCTCTTCTAAAACACGCAGTATAACAGACTTTTTATCATCGATCTCACAAATACATACATTTTAAAGGCATTTATTTCTTCTGCGTTCGTGCATAAGCAGGCAGTCACATTTTTGTGTTTGGGGCTTACATTTTTTTGAAGGAACTCTATCGTGGCTTTATTTCACAATGATTATGGAGGGGAGAGAAGGAAATGGTGATTTCTTAAGGTTGGAAGAGCACATGGGGCCGTGCATGAAAAAAAAATACACACCAGAATTGAGTGTTATAAGACCCAGCCAGTTCTAGAAGAATTTCATGATTTAAATCAGCAAGGAAAGGTAATTTTTTAGTAGTCTATCCACTGGTTAAAAAAGAGTGGAAAACAACAGAGAGTTCTTCAGATTTACAAATAGAAAGTTGATACTTTCCACATACTCCCACGATAAGGGCCAGAAGGTAAGAACAGACACTGTTATAACCAGTTATAACCAACAGTTTCAGTAAGTCACACGAACGAAATCAGTGTTTAGCAAGACCGAAAGACACTTACCTTGCCAGACAGCTCGTTTGCCGAGTGTCCCTTTCTCCACAAACTATCAACTTTACCGTCATTCCCAGACGCAAACTTTATGAGTAATTGAGATGGTCCCCCCTTGGAACAATTGTGCTTCAGGCTGGACAGACAGGAAACATTCGGGTACGTCCCTCCCAGTGAAACACTTCTTTGTAAGGCAGCATGGCTTTTGCTTATCTGTGCATTTGGTCTTTCCAACTCTCCACGGCTATTTCTATGGCAATCCACGTCTGGTGTGGCTGGTGAGCAGGGGGATGCCCTCTGCGTGAGTATGGCATGGTCCGAATCGGGCTGGAGCTGGAGCTCTGACCTCTCAGATATGCAGCCACCACGTGAGTTTTCACAGCCTGACACGGTTGGTTTTTGCTGGGTCCAGTGCACCGACACACAGGAAAATCCCTCAGGCAGCTTCTCACACACAGTCTGTTTGGGCCTATTGTTCGAAATGACAATTTTATTTTGCAGTGAGCTCTTGATGTGGAGAGGCCGTACATCTCTGGCTTCTCCAGGAGTACAGACCATTTTAGACAATCGAACCCCATTGACAGCTGTCGACAGAAAGCCTTTGGTGCCAGTGCCATCTTCATGATGTGCAGTTTCAGTAGGAGATACAACCAACTGGTGTGAGGTCTGGTAGGCACCCCTGTTTGTCGGGGATGCTGGCGGGGTGTTTGAAGGACTCCTGGGGAAAATGACCAAGGACGTGCAGCGTTTCAGTGGGACTTTTGGATTCCTGCTCACCGGCAGTTTCATAATCTCTGCTCCATGATCCAGGTTCTCCTGGGTGAAGGGAAGGCCACTGGGACTTCGGCACAGAACTTCACGGGGAATAGAGCTGACTGGCACACTGCTGTTGGAGGTGCTGTCGGAAGGTAAATTTCCACTAAAAAAGGTCTCATAGCTGCTACTGTCACTGACAACACTGCTGGTGTAGGAGCCTCCACTTGTGATGCTTGCACACGACCCATAGTCACTGCCACTGCTGCTGTAAGACCCACTGTCGCTGGCTGAGAAGTGACTGATGCTGCCGCTGCACACAGCAGAAGCACCTAAGAGGCTGCCATCACTGGCACTGGGCAGTTCCCCATCAACCCTGGTGCTGCTGCAAATACCATCCTTCAAAACACCGGTAAAGGAAGCGTCATCCCTGTCGGCCACGGCAGTGCTGGATGGAAGATCCCCTCCGTACCTGGGCTGCAGCGAGATCTGCAGGCAGCTGCTTTTTTTGCCACTGCTTTCAGAGGATCTTTGCTCTATCCACGGAGCCAGTGGTGTCTGTCTGGGGGTCAGCCTCATTTGAACAACGCTGGCCACTGAGATTCGGGGCGGTCTCTCCAGGTCATCTCCGGAGGGCTCCGACAGTGGGTAAGTCTTGCTTCTGCTGGCTGCGAAGTGCAATCGTAAACTCTGTGCCATTTGTTCTCATTTCCAAGCATGTTCAGGGCTGAGAGTCAAAACAAAGATCTCTGTCTGTAGACGTGTTAGCAGCAGCTGCGCTGCACCCAGAGGAAAAACCATCGGTGGCGTGAGAAAAGCTGGTCAGGAGGCGTCTTGAACCTTAGGACAACGTGAGATACCCGATTTCATAGAAAAGGACGACCCATGCCGGGCACTGACATTTCCCAAGTGTCTAGAATCGCCCGTAGTCAGAACGCCTTCACTGACAAAGCACTTGATTTCCAGCGACCTTTAAGCTGAGCTCAGCTGCAGCCCTGACTCAAACACAGCCAACCTTGTTTCAATTATACCTTCGCCAATTTGCATGAATGAGTAACGCAAGAACAACAAGCTTCTTGCATTTCAACTTGAAACCGTGTTTTTCACCCCAGCCCTACAAAACGAACATTTAACTCCAGAAATCTCAGTGCCTGTGCTTTCCCCAGCGATCCTGACCACTAATATTTTCACCCAAAGGTATAGGATTACAGGAAGTGGGTAGGAATAAAACCCGTGTGATTGAGTATCAAATTGAAGATTGAATTTCCAAATAGTAGCCATACTGAGGGATTTAGTCAGGTTAGTTAATGCTGGGAATATGAACTGTAATTTTTTTTTTAAAGAGTAAGTGCAAACAGTTAAATACATTTGGAAATATGAAAACTTTGGGGGGGAGGAACCTTAGTGTTAAATTAAACAGATAAATATTTTAGCAAAACACAATTATGAAAGTGAAAGTTGACAGGCTGAACTACAAAATGAGCCTCGTAACACTGCCGTAAACACTGAACAACCTCCTCAAGGGGGAAATTTTAAAAAAAGGCCAAAGAGAAGCTGTCACCAACCATTTTGTCCTGTAATTTTAAGGCTTTTTGCAGCCAAGTAGTACAGTCTTTAAATGATGCCGTTTATATTTTGACTATTAAAATCCTGCCAAGAAATGGCCTAGGCAAACATTCCATTAAAAATATATGCAGATTAGACAGAAAATCTATACCCCAATATAGTTTGAACACATTGGATATTTTATTCCTCTGTGTGCAATTCATTCACTTAAAGAGAGAGTGTTGTGGTAAAGAAGTCTAAAGAGGATTTAACACGTCAAATAAACATATCTCAATGCCAATTCTGTTCTGAAGGAGTTCTCTGCTGGCCCCTACCGGTGCTTTGAAACAAGCCAAGCAACTGTTAGATACCTATAAAGAAATAAAAACCACGCCACATATTTCATTACATAAACAAAGCGGCACTTGTTTACATTTTTGCGTGCTGCTAGCACTGCCTTTGAGGTAGAATTACAAGTGCTGATAAAACTCTCACAGCAGCGAACAGTACATGGCCTGTCCTCCAGAGGTTGTGATTCTGTGTATATATAGATATATATTTCTGATCTGTGTTTACATAACCTTTACTGTATTTTCAGCTTACTCGGCAATAAAAGCTGAATATTTTAATCTCTCTCCCAAATGTCAGAGACCAAGGTTGGTATTCTATTTGAAAGAAACAAATTTATTTTTAAATAATACTCTAGGGTATATTTAAACCCCTTACCTGAATTTTATAGCAAGAACTCCAGCAATAAATATATACTGGCTCATTCATAGGAAAAGTAAAAGGAAAATGGTTCGGTTGTTTACACCACATGGTACTACACCCAAGTTGTATTTTTCTAAGTAAGTTTTTTTTCCTAAGTAAAAACAAATATGTAAAACATATACTCATACTTTGTTTGAAAAAGAAAACTGCTTAAGTTAGATCTGTTTTTAATCCAAATTTTCTAAGAGTATTTTTAACCAGTTAAGACATAACAAACTAGAATTTGTTAAATTTTATTTGACTGGAATAACACACCACACTTTAGAAGGTGCATAATAGTTTAATAATACGATAATTATGCTGTAGTTTAATACAAGCCATTATGCCTTACAGACTTCAGTAAATACTCCTTTATTATTACTCTTTCTGTAACAAAGGAAAAGTCCTAACCTTGCTTCTTCCTTCTAACTTTCTTTTTTGGATTAAATTAGGAGTTTGCCATCTTAAATGGTTCACTTGTAATTGGATAATCAGTACGATCGAAGTACACAGGCCTCGGGACAGTTATCGAGAAAAAAGTCTGATTATTAATATGAAACAATTCCAGATGTTTTCTCCTTGACAAACAACTTAGCAATGAGATCTTGAGCTTCTAGACTGTGAGGATCATAACCAGGCTCCCCCTGCCCCTTCTGATCCTATTGAGCATAAAACAGGCACCAAGTTACTCCAGCAGGGGTGGAGGATGATGGGTAGATACTGTCACGGTAGCCACCTTGAATACCCATTTTTTTTTCTCTTTTACTTTGGTGGGTTTTTGTTTGTTTATCAGTTGGTAGAGTGCTTATCTAACATGCGTGAAGCCCTAGATGTGATTCCTAGTGCCCTATAAACCTGGTATGGTGGCAAACAAAGTAATCCCAACACTCAGGAAGTGGAGAGAGAAGGATGAGGAGTTCAAGATCCTCCTCCAGTACATGGTTAGTTTGAGGACAACCTGGGCTACATGAGATGTCTCAACGACAAAAAGACAACCCAGCTGCAACTTCTAAAGCTCTACAGGCAGATGAGAAGCAACGAATGACTGGCACGTGACGAATCCAGAGAGAAGTTAGCCAAAGAAGAGTCGGGGAAGACAATCATGTGTTGAAATCCCAAAATGCTGAATAGCCTGCATCGTGAGCTCAGGTCTAAAGCAGAGGGAGCCACACAGCACAGTTAGAAGAGCCAGTGTCAACTCTGACCTCAAGCCAGGGAACAGGATGTGCTGGCAGCCTCATCTGGGAGGACCCTGAACTTGTCCTGTCGAAATCCAGTCTGGAAAGAAATGGATGGTGCCTGAAGTCTGGAGCTCGGATGCTCACTTGGAGCTGTTTGGTCACTGACAGGTGGGCAGTGCCGAGGCTGGCCCCGCCTCTGAGCTGTTTGGTCACTGATTATTTCCACATAGAATAAAGTTATCATGTACGCTGTGTGGATGGGCACTAGCGAAGTGACGCTAACTGTAGATGAACCTTGAGGACTGGGATCTACTGTGGCAAGTAGTGGTACCTATCCTTTGACCGCATTCTGACACTTGGCTGTTTGGCTAAATTCCAGTCTACACACTGCTGAAGATGTGCAGTTGAAGACCAGCAGCCTTTTAGTAAAGCAGACAGCCTTCCAGTGTGAGCGAGCCTTATCTATCAGCTAAAGGCCTCAACACAGAAGGCAGGTTTCTCAAAGAGGCAATTTTGTTTGTGTGTTTTTAATCTTTTTGTTTTGTTTTGTTTTGTTTTTGCTTATGGAGACAGGGTTTCTCTGTGTAGCCCTGGCTGTCCTGAAATTCACTCTCTAGACCAGGCTGGCCTCGAACTCACAGAGATCCACCAGCCTCTGCCTTCCGAGTGCTGAATTAAAGGCTTGTGCCAGCACTAGCTGGCTTGTTTGGGTTTTTAAAGACTTATTTTTAATATTTTAAATTCGGCATGTGTGTGTGCGTGTTTGTGCATATGAATGTAAGTGTAGTATCCTCAGAGGCCTAAGAGTCCCCTGGAGCTGGAGGGACAAGCAGTTGTGTGTTGCCTGACATGGGTGCTAAGAGCTGAACTCAGATCCTCTCTGTATCTACTCCAAACCATTAAGCCGTTTCTCCAGCCTCCAAAAGGATCTACTTCTGCCTTCAATAGAAAAATTCTATCTACATTCAGCTCCCCTTGTCAGTTTGTACAAGCCTGTAAACTAGTCCCTCAAAATCTCCCCCTCTCAGACTTCAGTGAGAATAACCACTAAGGTCTTAGCACAGGTGTGCTTTTGAGACTGCTGACACACAGGTTCCTGCGCACTGTCTTATTTTTGTTTCTTGCATTGTCTTCAGGCACATCATCCTGAAGGCATATCGCCCTCCAGATATAACTAAGAACATGAACCGCCATGACCACCATCACCCCAAGCCTTAAAACCAGCTATATACATTCATATATATATGAATGTAGCCCTATTTTTTCTCAAAAGCAAGTGTCATGTATAAATGACGTTTACAGTGGTGGAGGTCCGTTGCTGGATGCCCAACCTGGTGGTTATGGCTCCCACCGCACTGTAGGTGACGTCTGGGCTTCAGTTGTGTGCTGAGGAGGGAGTGGTGCTCAGCACAACTCTAGTTTTTTCCTGGCCCTGACAGATGCTCACATTCACTTCTCGAGAAGTACCTATTTCCAGCACACATGAGGATCGACACCACAGATACACAACACAAAAGCAGGTACCATGCTAAATGTTAAATGACATTTTAAATCTGTACTTTCGTGAAGAAATTTCTGAGGCTGGGGATGAGACTCAGCTGGTGGATTGCTTGTGTAACATGCTAGAAGCCCAGAATTTGATCTGCAACTCCACAAATGCCACCTATAATCCCAGCGCTGGGAAGGTGGAGACTGGAGGAGTAGAAGTTTAAGATCATCCTCAGATACCAAAGGAGTCTGAAGTCAGCCTGGGATAGATACATGAAACCCTGCCTCAGTAAGTAAATTAAATTAAACTGCAACCGCTGGGACTATTAATACATGTCTTTAATCCCAACACTTGTTGGGGAGGCAGAGACAGGCAGATGTCTGTGAGTTCGAGGCTAGTCTGGCTTACATGACTTCCAAGACAGCGAATGCTATATAGCGTGATCTTGTCTAGGGGGAAAAGGAGATTTTTCTGAGTGCTTTTAGAGCCATTATCTTATGTGAGACAGGCAGGGCAAATACTGACATCTGCATTTTTATTTTAAATAATTAATTCTGAAATTTTGATTTTTTTTTGGAGGTAGGATCTCCTATGGGCCCAAGTTCGCTCCATGGCTCCTTATGTAGCTGAGGATAATCTTGAAATTTGTATCCTCCTGCCTCTGCTTCCCAAAGGTAGGGATGACAGGCATGCACTTCCATATCCTGTTTCAGGATCTTAATTTTCCAAAGGGAACACTTTCTGATTTG